GTGAGTTGTGTTGTGACACTATTACAGCCATTTTAGGATGCTCGTATTTCAGGCCAGGATTTCATCTCAAAGGATTTCCTGGACAGAAATACGTGTGCATATGCCACGCAGCAATTGTACTATTGGGTTTTGGTTTTTTTTTTCATTTTACTGAAAAATCTTGCAGAAATGACTAAAGCCTCCTCCTTCTTATGGGAGAAGAACTTAGCCATATGTTGGCCATCTGCACATCATCTGAGAAGTCTGCCAATAAAATCTGGAGAATAGAGGAAATAAGAGAGAAAATTTTCATAGCTCTCTTATCTCCTTCAACTATAACCACGCAAGAAGCAGAAAATAGTTGTGTTTATTCTGGAGGACCAGAAAAACCTAAACTAGGGTGGCATGGCTGATGTTTGAGCATCTTGGCCCCCAAAGCAGGGTGACTTTTCTGGGGAAGGGGAAGAAAATGCCACCAAATCCTCTCTAGGTATAAAACTGCTCTTGCTGTTTCTCAATGTACTGGAAATAGCGAATTAACAACAGAGCTGCAAGTGCCTGCTGACTTCAGGATCTTCAGTGTTGGATCTGAAGAAATGGGGAGCGTTGTTAAAGCATGTTAGATAGAGAAGTTATCAGCAGAACACGTCAGGATCTCTGAGCTGGAGCTTGCTGGAGCAGGTATTGCCTTTTTTGTTGTGTTCAAGAGCGGCATTAAGCACGTTACAAATAATGAGAGATTCCAACAGATCCTGTATCTGGCTGTGTAGCTCATTTGGGTGAGGAGCTACAGGATTTCACTTCATTTCACAGGCTTAAGAAGCTGCTAAGAGTGAGGAAACCCAGTGCGGGTCAGTTGTGCGTGTTCCCATGCTCTGTGCTATACCTGCATTGACAGGAGCTGATGATGCCATTGAAAAATACCCAGTGCAGCCTATTTTCTTTTTCAGCCCTGATTCTGTAACTCACAGCCATGCCTCTGTGAGTTCAACAGGACGCTGGCTGTGAACAAAAGCTGAATGGGTGAATTTAGTGTGTTTATAAAGTCACTTCTGGCATAGAATGGTCTAATTCAGCTTGAAAGGCTTTGATGAAAAAAGTTGTGATTTAATGCTGCTTTTTTTTGCAATGGCCTTTGCTGTCATTTGATGTCTACACCCACAGAGTGAGTGACCTCAGGGCTGTGGTATCTCATGAATAGTGTCCCCCCTGAGGAGCGTGCTTGCCGTAGGACCAAGATGATGTAACTTTTGCTCTGTCAAATGGAGCTCCCGCAGAGTCAGCTTTGGGCATGGCACATGCAAGTTCTTCCTTGGCTCCTCGATTTGGCTACACAAATCTCCATCTGCTGCTCCTGTAATTCATTTCATGAGGTTCGCGCTATCTCTGCGTCTCACAGGGACTTCACTGAATCTTTCATCACCCTCAGCCAAAGCAGCATCACAGAAAATGTTGATTCACCTATAGAACTCGGGTAAGTTTTTCTATTTTCTATCAACTCTTTCTTTTTCTATGAGAAAATCCTAAAAACTGATATAGAGACTTATTTATTTTTCTTCTGGGATCTCCCAGACAGTTTCAGTAATAAACTTAGACAATTATGAGAAGTTTCGAGCTAGTTTGGTGTAGTCATGAAGATGTTCATCCTACCATCTGTTTTATCCATCCAAACTTGGATTTTATGGTCTTTGAGTGTGACAAAAAGCAATCAAGTCAAGACTTTGGATGGGAAAAGGCTTTTAAATTCACACAAGATAGGCGATATTCGGAAAAGCTAATAGTGATTTATTTGTCCTGCTAAGCTGTAGTTAAGGTAAAATTTCCATTAGTGTCATGGAGCAAACTGACTCTCATGGAGCAATACTGGGTCTGTCTTAAGCCTGACTCCCAATGTGTTTTCAGTGGAGACCTCTTGGTGTGTGACAACTAAAAATGAAACACTCCATCTTTGTCATGTGTACGTTTTATCATCTGTGTGCTCATCAGCATCTCAGGTCAGTCCCTTAGGGAGCTCTTACAAACTCCTCAATATAAATATCTGTTCAAACTAAATACAGGAAGCAAATATGAAGTGTACATGCTTTACTGATTTCTGTATCCTATCAATACCTCATACAACGTGATCTTTACCCAGAAAAGTAAAGTCATGAAGGCTAATAACAATTTCAGAGTAATTAGATATATTCTTTGGTGTGATAGATGAATGGCAAAGAAAGCATAACCTCTTTCTAATCAATTCCAGTTACAAGAAAGGCTTATTAATAAATCAGATTTGTCAAAATGCACTACATATAAATGCTATATTAAAAAGTATGTGCATGTATGTTGAAAGACAAATCCCCTCATTCTCATATTGAAAGAAACTTTCCTCTTCCTTCATGGTGTACATGCACTGTCCTGTACTTTGCTGGTTCAGCTTCCGTGTCTCCCAGCTCCTCAGGGTGGGTCTTGGCTGTGGTTGACGTCTTCGTTAATGGTCTGGATGATGGGGTGAATCATAAACACCCTTGGGAAGTCTGTATATGACCCAAAATTGGAAGGAGTGGCTGGTCCACCAGAGGATTGTGCTGCCATCCAGAGGGACCTTCACCATTTGGAGATATGGCCTGACAGGACCCCCATGCAGCTCAACAAGGAGAAGTGCAGGTCCAGAAGCTCAGCCAAAAAGGACCTGGGAGGTCCTGGTGAACACTGAGGTGAACACAAGCCAGCAATGAAGACAAATGGTGTCCTGGGCTGCGTGAAGAGGACTGTCACCAGCAGGTCAAGGAGGTGATGATTCCTCTCTGCTCAGCACTGGTAAGGCCACATCTGAATTACTGCGTCTAATTTGGAGCTCCCCTGTGCAAGAAAGCCATGGACGTGCATGGCACAGGTTACCCAAGGCAGTTGTGGAGTCTCCAATATCTTGGAGATATTCAGAAGCTGTCTGGACGTGGTCCTGGGCAGTCCACTCTGGGTGGCCCTGCTTGGGCAGGGGTTGGAGCAGGAGACTTCCAGAGGTCCCTGCCATCCCCAGCCGTTCGGTGACTGCAGAGCTGGAGTGGGAGCTGCTGGCCAGAGAGCAGCTGCTTGTTTGGTTTCTGGCTCCTTCCCTTTCCTCCTGCTCCCCTCCACCCTGGTAAAACAGCATTTTTCTGACCAGCTGGACACTCCAGTAAGGAAATGTTATTGTTTCCACAATGTGTGATTATTGATACGATTTTAGTATCAACCAAGGACAATTTCTTATGAGAATTTTGAAACAACTTGATGGGAACCTACACCTTTATATGTAGTAAAAGAAGGGGGCAAGTTCTGTTTCCTAAGGCCCTTGTAATATAGAATCCTTCCTTCTCATCCTCGTTTTATCATATCTGAGTGGCTGCCAGATTCCTCAGCCAGGATATCTGACTAAAAATCATACTTATGTACATTGAAAAGAATTCAAGCTTGCATCATATATGACAGCTGATGTATTTTATAAAGATAAGGAACACACATCCTGTCGTCATTTGGGCTCTGATTAGATTAATCTCTGTCATCTATATATATATGTCTAAGCTGAACAAATATTTCTGTCAACATCTGACCTATGGTTTGAGCTCTGGGCTTCGGATTGATTATTAGAAGAAAAAAGTTCCTATGGCTTGGTCCCCTTTAGGGTGTCATCTGCAGCATCCTTGCCTGCCTGGAGGATTTTTGTAGCCCCCAGCAGTGCTTACAAATAAATCAGTGAAGACATTTCCTCTCTATTAGACCTGTACAGAGCATGGGAAAAATCAGGATTTGGATTAGAAATCCGTGGTCAGGAACAGCTCACAGCAGTTAGACAGGTTCTGGGTCTGCTCCCTCCTGTGACCGACCACATCTCCTGGTGCTTTGACCAAAGGGCTTTCCCCTGTGCCATCTTGGGGAGCTCAAGATGAAGGCAAAGAGCTTCAAGAAGAAAAGAGAGATGTTTTCTAGACACCTGTTTGCTGCTGCCTTGAGCTTCATCCACACTTCAGAGCTGTTTCTGAGCCTTTAAGGGTTGATACAGCATTTGATAACTTGATTTTTTTTTTCCTGTGGTCACTGGTTGCATGCAGCACATGGAGACCACCACCTAAATCCATGCTTGGGGTAGGTGCTGTGAGTTGCCCATAGTAAGAATGGCCTAAGAAAGTTTGGTTGCTCTTAATGGTTCCCTTCAAGATGTACGTGTGGGATATACATTTGCTGATCTTTCCTTTCTTCCTCATAGTCCTGGATGTGTTCCTGTGTCCTTGGCAGCAGAAGAGGGGTTGAGAACTCCATTCCTATGGATACAGCTGGGGAAAAGCTTCTGATTTTGAAGTCATGAGGCACAGATACATTCAGGGTTCAAATACACACATCTATTATACACCTTGGAGATGCTGGTTTCTGGTGGGATGACTAAAAGCTCTGGAGGTGGATGTACTGATGCTCAGCTGGGGATGGTTAAAAAAAATACCTTACTGTTTTAGGTCTGTTCTTTCCAGTACAATAACCTACAGGAATTCTTGTCCTGATTTTTGCTGAATGTCTGAAAATTGAGGTAACCCCAAACCCTGCCTTTTCTGCATGGTATTTTGGCTGTGCTGGAAGCTGCTGCTGTCCTTGTGGGCAAACCCAAGGTTTGGTCCCTCACTGGGTTATCCAGTCCTGTTGTAGTGTGGCTGTTTGCGCCCCACTGGTGCAGGTTTTGTGGTGCTGGATAGACAACACTGCAGTCTGTGGTTAATATGACCCTGAAAAAAATACCCTAAACCAACACAACCCCAGAATTATTCTTAAAACACAGGTCAGTTTTGCGAAAAGTACTTGTTCGATGTCAGTCTCCCCAGTTGTCTGCTCCTTGAGAAAACCATCTTGTTTATGATAGCCTTAACCCCACGAAAAAGGAAAAGAGTCCATTTAATTTTAAGTGGGGCAAATCCAAGCTGCCAGCTTCAAAGCTCTCTACTTTGATGGCTACACGCATGGGGCAGTTTGAAATGCACACTCGAGAAGCTAATAAAAGACAGAAGCCTGATTGTGTTCCCAGTTTGGCTTAGCACTTTGGGTTTAGCAGTAGACATTGGCAGATGGTCTGAAAAATTCGGCATTTGCACAAAGCACAGTAGTTGCAACACGAATTCAAGTGTGGTTTGCAGGTTTTGAAGTTGGGCACGCAGTCAGCAGCTGGTGTGGGCCTTGGTTTCGGAGGTGCCTTCAGTTGAGCATTTTTCTAGAAGGAAAAACACGAGAATTCTTGTAAGTGTAAAATGAACGTGGGTCAGAACACAGAGTGGGTGCAGAGAAAGTGAACCATGGGAGCTTCTGACTGGAGATGGAACCATAGGATGTGTTGGGTTGGAAGGGACCTTTACAGCTCCTCCAGTCCAACCCCTGCAGTGAGCAGGGACATTGGTACCAGATCAGGTTGCTCTGAGCCCCATCAAGCCTGGCCTTGAATATCTCCAGGGATGGGGCCTGCACCACCTCTGGACAACCTGTGCAAGTGATCGACCACCTCATGGGGAAGAGCTTTTTCCTCATATCCAACCTAAATCTACTCTTTTCTAGTTTAAAACCATCACCCCTCATGCTACTGTTCCATGCCCCAGTGAACAGCTCTTCCCCACCTTTCAGGTCCTGGAAGGTCGCTATAAGATCCTCCTGGAGCCTTCTCCAGGCTGAATAACCCCAACTCTCTCAGCCTGTCTTCATAGCAGAGCTGCTCCAGCCCTTGGATCATCTTTGTGGCCTCCTCTGGCCCCGCTCCAGCACTTCAATGCCCTTTTTATGTTGGGGACTCCAAAGCTGGACACAGAACTGCAGGTGAGGTCTGACCAGAGCAGAGCAGAGAGGCAGAATCCCCTCCCTGGCCCTGCTGGCCACACTTCTTGTGAAGCAGCCCAGGATGGGGTTGGTTTCTGGGCTGCAGATGCACACTGGCCTTCAGATGAGTTGGTGGTCACTAGCAGTGAGACCTACATTAGTGGCAATATAGAGATGTGGTGGGACCAGGTCATTGGAAATGCCAGCTTGAGACCCACCTACCAAGCAAAACGGTAGAGCTCAGGAGCCCCATATTTTAGGCAATTAGAAATCTGACTGGATATAGAGTTGGCAAATGCTTTGTAGGGAAGAATCCCAGAATCATTAAGGTTGGAAGAGACCTCTAAGATCATCAAGTCTGACCATCAACCCAACCCCACCATGGCCACTAAATGTGGCAGCAGTGAAGAAAGGGACCCAAGAATCTGCAAAGACTACGATGTTATCAGTAAAACAAAGTCAGGAATACTCTTGGATCCTCAGACTTTTCAGATGAAAGAGTGAAACCTCCCTGTCAGCCTGTGGGGCTGGCACCCATGTTGTCTCCAGTGCGACGAGGCTGAGGGGAGGTGACTTGGCAATGCTCTACCCTAACCCTAGTGGGTTTGTCAAGCTGCCTTTTAATTTTAAGGCAAAATGTGCTGTGGTCTCTAAAGCTTTAGGAGCTTTTAAGCCAAAATACTTAGACAAAGATTGATCACAAGGATCACTCCTTTAAGCTGAAGGTGGATGATGTCCTGAGGCCCCTTTAAACCTGGGTCAGGCTGTGGATTTAGGAGGTGTTTCAAGGAAGGTTAACCACACGACATCAATTAGAAAGGAAAAGAAGGAGCTCTTTTTTTATAGACTGGTTTGTCTATAAATACCACCATGACATATTAAAAATAGAAATGCTATTTTTTTACTCTTCCAGACAATCTTTAAGAGACAAGAGTCCAGCCCGTGTAATGCTTCACATTTGAGACTTATGGGTAACAACACATTAAGGAAATCTCTCAGCCTGAATCTGCTGATCAGATAAAATTATTAATATTTTCAACCAAATACTAACTTCTTTGTAAGCTTCCACCTGATTTTTTTGGCACCTGCAGTTACAAATCAGCAGACACTGAGTCTGTGTCCCCAGGCTGCAGAGCATGGACCACTAGCCCACATGATGGGACTGGGAATGACGCCTCTTTATGGCACATACCTAAATAATTTCACAAATACTTCAAGAAGCTCAAGGTTCAAGTGCCTTTGTGTACGAGAGGACTGTGAGGAGCAAAACGAAAACCATCAAGATCCCCCAAACCCAAGCAGTTACTTCTAACTAATCTAAGATGATACAGTTTTCTTTCCACTATCAATGTTTCGTATCTGTTTGTACAGTATTTAGAGCTTTGAACTGTATGTAAATTAAATAAATGGCTGCAAAAGCTTTGCCAATGAATGCACTGAGGAAAACTACAGGAGTAAGAAACAGTTTGAATTCAACACTGTTTTCTGAACAGCCACCTACCTTGGAAGATTTCTTGCTCTCGGCCTCTTTCCTGCTGAAAAAAAATTCTGGGATCTTTTAGTTAAATCTTCAAGGAGAACAGCACAACATAATGTTAAATCAATTTTATAGCACGGCATTTGACTGAGATAAATACTGTTTTTGTGTGAGAGAAGGCAGCTACCTTGCGTTGTCAGTGTGTGCTTTGCAGTGAAGACGTTCGTCTCTAGGAGCCGTCCTTGCTCCCACACCGCTTGTGAAAAGCAGAAGAGCACCAATGGGGGTGTTTGAGGAGGGCTTTTTGACACATCGTTTGGTCAGATGTCAAGAAGGGAAATAATTAATATTAATTTACTAAAATTAAAGTTCTTTGTGGAAAAGATGGGGGTACTTCTCCATGTTAGTCACGTGAACAAAAATAGGAAAAAAAGCCTTTAAAATTCCATAGTTTTTTCTGCTAAAAGGTGGTGTTACCTGCATAATTTTGGCAAGAATTAACAAGCATACATTTGTTTTTGTAAGCAAAAACCTCTCTCTTTCATAAATAAATTGATGGTATCAGGAGGGGAGAGGAGGCTGTGGTTATTCAAACACTCAATATTTGCTCTAAATGACTTGTTTCTGTGGCGGTGATGGGAGAAACCTGCCAGCCTTTTGCCATGGCACTGTTGTTGTGGTAAATATTACCACAGGTAATGGTAATTATATACCATTATAAAATACCTCAAGTGTGGCAAGGCTTTTGCAGGGGCTGTGGGTAGAGGGAGCAGGGGCAGCGCTGAAGCAGCCACCTCCGTGCCTGCTTTTTCCAGCTGCTTTTCCCTGTTTGCAGTAGTTTCTCCCATTTCCACCCGTCTCCATCCTCTGAGAGACCGTATCCAAGTCGCCATGCATTAATGCACACTTTTGATTAATTTTCCTTTAGTTTATCCCGTTACCATTCAATTATTTTAGATAAGTGACAGAGGTAATGAGGCAACTGGTTGTCTGCAATAAAACCCAGAAAGGTTTGCATGTGTGCCATTTTGGCTGCAAAATAAACTATTGCAAAACTTAGCTCAGATTCTATTGAATGAGGAAAAAAAGGAATGATTTGTCTCAGTTTTACTGCTCCCTTTGTGTTTTTCTGATTTTCTTGAGGGATGAGGTAGTGAAGGACCAGACCAGGCTCTCACCTTGGAACAAGGGGGCTGCAGAAAGTCCTTGGGACACCCCTGGAAATGCCTTGTGCCCCAAAAAAGTGAGTGCAGCCCTGGCCAACAGGGAGTTTTGCATCTGTATCTTCCTTTTTGGAATAGTCAGCTACCTTGGATGTCTGCTGGCAAAGCCATATGGCATGACACAACCTTTCTGCCATGTTTAGGCACGGGTGCTTTTTTGGGAGAAGATAAGAGAAGTAATCTGATTTTTCTGTATTTTGTGTCCCTGGTTTTAATTGGAATAAATAAATTATTGGAAATGTGAGATTGAAGGCATCTGGGATCATGAAATTATATGTCTTGGGAGGCTGCAGAACTGTGCAAATTTAATGAACTTGCAGTGAAACAACCCTGAATTAATTCAAGATTCAGAGGTTCACATTTCATTGGAAATGTATGCGTGGGGCAACTGTTTCTCCTTAAAGAAACCTTGTCCTGAGTGAGAATGCAGAGAAAATACAGGAAACAAGGCCAGAAACCAACCTGCTTTAAGCGAAAGTCCTTAAAGCTCCTCCTGCAGAAAGGAGCTAAACAGCAGAAGTTTTAATTTGAATTACTAAAATGTTGACACAGTTATGAATGATGTTCTGCAGCGAATTATCCCCAAATACCTGTGAGTTTCTTGCAAGAAAAATGTTGGTTTAAATTACAATGAAGGAGTTACAGATGGTCACCTCCCAGTGATGGTAGGGACAGAGCTCGCCCTGTTTTGGATCTGTAGACACCCTCTGGCTCTCCCTTGCAGTGCTATTTTGTTCCCCTGGTTAAATTTTGCATGGCACACAGGGAAACTGAGGTCAGATTAATATCTTAGAGATCTGCTGATTTCTCTGCCATGAGAGTAGATCCTAAAAAAAACCAAGTTACGTTCACTTTCTCTATTTGCATTAGACTTTCAAAGGAAGGTTGAGAAGATTAATGCCTGTATTAATGGGAAAACACTTCAGTATAAAGAGACTTACAGTGTGATAGGACCTGAAGTGAAACCTGCAAAAGTAAAATAAGTTGTCTGATTATTAATTTGTTGGGTTTATTTTAATTCTAAATTGTGGTTTGCCTCAATTGCCGTTCTTGGATGCTGTGGCTGCGTTGCCACTGCAGCCCTGCACACTACTAAGGCGTCTGTGTGACCTGCAATGTTGCAGTAAGCTGGGAAAATAACCCACGTTAATCACCAGCTGTATTTTCTGCAAGTCTTGCTAATTTGGCACCGAATGCAGGTTTTACTGACCTACAATGGAGATGGGGGGGAGGTCTTGGAGGTTCATTTTGCTGCCCCTCGACAGGTTGCACTCTGTCTTCTCCTCAATCGCCATGTGGGAATCGGCGGCTCTGAGCAAAGCGTAGCAGAGCAACAGGCTTAGGAAGAGGCTCTTGCTTTCCATCCTGGGGAGGAAAAAGTCCATTGTCAGGAAAACCAAAGCTGGTCAAAACCTGCATGTAGAAGGGACGCAAGGACACGAATCTCAGCAATGGGTTTCGGTCACGTTGTGCCGCTTCAGCAACAAAAGCCTTGACAACTCTTTTATTTCCAGCCTCTGATACTGGAAAACCTGAGATTGCAGTTGTCTGAGTGGAAAAATGCTGTCTCAAATGCAACTCTCTTAGGTGGCCTTTTTTTTCCCTGATTCTTTCCTCAAAAGGCTGTGAGCGAGTTCTCCCCACTGAGTTTTACAGTGTTCTTTATTGTGTGACAAAGGGGAGGAAAGCTTCTGCTGTCACTTTTGACCAGCTCAATCCAGAAAATCTTGTTTAAAAATTTGTGCTAGAAAGCCTAGAAAAATAATAATAACTTAAAAAAAATACACAAACTGTGTATTCCTAATATTCCTATTATTTTTCTACATTTAACAATAAGTAACGAAATAATATCTTCTTTTATTACGCCCTGATGTGACTGCTCTGATCCCACAGTGAGTCATGGCTATAATTCATGCGAGTTATTAAAGGCCCAGTGCTGTAAAGCATTTATGGGCCTTAGGGTTTAAGTATGTATTTAATAACCTCTAAGATGCAACAAAGTCTGAGGGATTTGAGCTTACTTATGGAGAAACCTGAGCTTTGCAGATTGTGGCCATCCACCTCGGAGGAAAGCCACCAGCCCTGGCTGACCTCTGCAGGACGCGGTGCAGCTGTATGGGGACATGGAGCACGTCCCCGTCCTCTTTTCTTGCAGGTCCTTAACGCTGTGGAAGTTTGTAGTTGGTTTTTATTTCCATCTGCGTCAGTTTTGTGCTTTGTCAGAGTTATGGGAGCCTTCACCAAAGGCACTGCCAGCCTCCAGATTTACGGGTAGCTGTTCGTCAGTGAAAAGCCACCAGTAGCAGTAAAAGGAGGAAGTGAAACCAAATGTTTTGAGCAATCAATCTGGTTGTAACAACTCAATTACCAGAAAATTAAAAGATGAACAGTTTCTGCACTGGAAGAGCTTCAATCTAATCTCTGCTGCTCAGCTAAGCCTGTATTACGCTGGCTTTTACAGCCTCCTCCAACACCACCGTTCCTTGTGAGATGCTGAATATTGTGCCTCTAATTCATAGCATTACAGAATGGTTTGGGTTGGAAGGGACCTTAATGATCCTCCAGTCCAACTCCCAGTTCCGAGTGCTTGGGCTCATTTCTAAACCAGTTAGAAACCAGTTTGTTCTGCAGGCCCCGCTCTGGTACCACATCAGCACTGGGTGCCCTGGCGTGGCTTTCATGTCCAGAGAAGGATGTGCATCAAAACCTGCTAGGGCTTGATCAGGATCTGCAGGGCTGCATGTGCTGCATCCTTTGAGATTTCAACATCTGCAGGAGCTGCAGCCAAAATTGAGATATCTGAGCTTGGAGTTTTACGATAGGGGAGGTTAACCCATGGGGAACAAGGGCTGCTATGTTTGAATTTCAAATGATCTGCAGCTGGTGGAGGTCAGAGCTTGCATCAATGTTGAGACCCAAGCTGGCTCATAGTCGTGACTGTGGATAGAGGGATCCTTCAAATGAGTTGATTAAAATTTTGTAATAGGAGACGGGAGGATGCTTTAATTTGATCACAAATCACCTACTCGAGAGAGTCCAACTTCTTTAGAAGAGAATAAAGATTGCAATGAACAGAAGCAACAAGTCCAGCCATGAAAATTTGTCGTGATGGTAAAACTGTGGGCTTGAGTTTTCAGCTATTGCAATTTAGTAGAGAATCAAGGTGGCACGTCTGTTTTCGTTTTCTACGTACTCTGATCTTGCAGACTCCTGTACAGAAGTTCAGCCTTTGCCTCTGGTAATTGCCTATGAATAATGGGAAGTCATTTCCTGTCACAGCTGGTTTCACTCTATTCGGAGATTTATCCTCATGCAACAACCGAGCGAACAGTTTGAGATATTCCTACATAAAATCTGCCATAAACACTGGAAGGGACAAGTTGAAATTTTCTTAGGAGATCTAACAAATTTGGATCAGTTCATAAATAAACCGACATCATTATAAATAACTAAAAACAGCTGCTTAGAAAAAGAAAATGTTGAAGTACCTGAGCAGAGAAACAGAGAATACTGAAAATTGTGTTACATTGCTTGGTGACTCACTGCCAAATCTTCACCTTCGTTCTGCTGCTGTGCTCCCATTTTGAAAAGGATAGGACAGAAATAGAGGAACTACAAGGAAAAAAGCAAGAATTAGTGGATGCTTTGAAAAATGCTGAGATTTTAAGATGGAGAGAGATGGAAAAAGTTAGGAAATCAAGTGTGGAGGTTAACAGGATGACTGGACAGGCTCTGCATGGTTATTTCATGATCACTAGAACTGTGTTATCTGGTCCCCAGAGCAATCCCGCTCTCAAGATGTAAAAACACGTGAGTAAATACAAAGAAATAGCCACTACTCATCCTCAAACCACAAAATGATTTTCAATAAAATCAACGCAAGCAAAGCTCTCCCCACAGAATAAACGTGGAGTCCCTGTTTGGAGTCTAACCTGAATCTCAATGCCTTCGAGTTGTTTCGTTCAGTGTTGGAGGAATGGGCTGAAAAGCTCAGGTTCACTTTTGGCATGGACCCCTCATGTACCTCTTTGGTTCTGGGAGACAGAGCACAGGGCCAGGTCCTGCAGAGTTCTTGGTGTCTGTGTTGACACCCGAATTACTCAATCCCCTTCCCAAGTTCTTCCAAAAGCTTCCCAAAAGCTCTTGCTCTTGCCCTTGTTTTGCCATCAAAATATGAGAAAAGTTGAATGAGGGCTTAACAGCAGCTTTATGAAGTATGCATATGTTCGCATATGTTCACATATATTCAATGCCGGTTGGTTTAGTGTGGTTTCTAGAAACAGCTTGTTTCTGTTCTTGTGTCGTGTTCTGGACTTGGCGTTCCTAGGTCATCTGGGGATCAAGTTTTCATGCTTTTCAAATGCAATTGCAAAAGCACATTCAAAACAACAAAAAGAGAAGGGATTTTTAATTTCCTGGGTACATCAGGGAATATGTTTTCCTTGGCATTCTCATTGCTTAATATGTTTCTTTAAGCACAGCTCGGCAGTTGTGATGCTGTGGTGGTGCAGACCCCTGGTCCAGGCCCCATTGCCATGTCAACACCAGCCAACATTGTTCTTGCTGTAGTGACGAGGGCAGTGGGCCCGACATTGTTCTTGTTTCAGTGGGACAATCTGCCACTTTCTGACCTTGATGGCGGTGACTTGACACAATCTGGTACCTTCCACAAGCCCACTGAAAGTTACTGAGATGGACAAGAATGGTGACCACAGTGGAAAGGTACTGACCAAAGCCAAACATCTTGCGACCCTGTAGATACTGATCCTAAATTGAGGCCCCAGGATCGCACCAGGAGATAAAAGATGGGAGTTTTAGTTCATCTGCTGGCAGAAGCTGATGAAGGGAAGAGAGTGAGTATAGCCAATCATTGGATACCAAATCTTACTATAATCTGCAGAAAGGAAACATCCTAATTATAGGTTAACCTCTATATCTCTGTGTGTGTGCAAGTATATGCAGTTTGATTTAGGAAACTTTGTTAAATCTTTAACTAAATCGCTGTGTATGATTATAACATGTTGTTGATTATCGACTAATTAAGTGTTGCTGATTTTGTTGCGCCTAATTCCTTTAGACATAAACTGTTGACAAGTCTGGTTCTGGGAGTGGATCCAGCTGCACCCGGTCTCCTCTCTGAGGAGTTTAGGGATCAAGGGGATCCACTCTGAACCCTGTGACTCAATGGGGAGGGTCTTCCTTATTCCTTTTTTCTCTAATCCTCATGTAAATTACTCCACCATGAGTCCAACCGTTAGATGATCCCTCCACATTGTAAGTAATAGAGTGAACCTTGTCATTGAACTCTGTTGAGTCATGCTTTTACAAATTCATGATAAAATAACTTTTTTCTGATATCTTTAATGGACCTTAAGTCCTTTTCTCCTCCATGACATAGATACATCATTTAAGTTACTGGAGTAGGATCAATACAGGTTGTTTTATCCAGCCTACGCTTCAGACCAAGGTGAGGGGTTTCTGTGGGATTGCCCATGAAGTTCAGTTTCCAAATGTTTTCTAATCTTTAACACCTTCATTGGCTCTGCTCTGTGACGATGCATCACCCACATCAGTGACAAGGAAAGCTTATTTCTCAAAAAGGGAGGAAACATTACGGCCATGACTTGTCTTGCTGAAATTTTGTAGAGAGAGAGGTAACTGTGGCTCTTCTCTCATCCTCCTCATAAAGCAAAGCCTATGTGTAGTAAAACTGAGAATTAAGGTGAAGAAACCTGTACATCTCAGCAGTCTGGCTATAAGGTGACTACAGGAGACTTTGTCGAAGGCCTTGGTGAATTCAGGGTATACACTGCGCAATCTGCTCTCCTTTCCATTTATGCATGCATCACTGTTGTTCGCACAGAAGGCAACCAGCTTGGTCAGGTACGGTTTTTTTGGTATATCCATGCTTGCTGTTCTCTATTCCTTTTTGTTCTTCCTGTGGCTGGAAGTGGCTCCCAGGAACATTTGCTCTGCCACCTTCCCCGGGACTGAGGCCAGCCCAGCTGCCCTCTGCTTCTGTGGATCCTCTTCTTGTCCTCTGTGAAGACAGATGAGACATTTCTCTTTTCCAGGCATGAGAAGCCTCTCCTCAGTTGCTATGACCTTCCAAAGGAAGCAGCCTGGTGGTAACGTCAACCAGCATCTTCAGCACCCTGGGATGCACCCTGTGAAGTCCCATGGACTTTTCCATGCCCAGCTGGTTTAAGTGCCCTCTGCGCCGTATCTTCCTCTGCAGTGGGCAACGCCGTGTTCTCAGAGGCTCAGGCCAAAAGCAGATCTGACCAGTCTGGGGAAGACATCAAGTACTTCATCTTTTTCTATATCCCCACTCCATTGACTCCTTGATTTGCTCTGGATATGCTCAAAGCCTCTTCTGGCTGTGTTGTTGGTGGCTGCGTGGTTGAGCAGCAAG